GTGGCTTGGAGTCTTCTGTTTATCCACAGACTGGTTACTGTACAGCTGTAGCATAAACTTCCTCGCACTGCTTTACCTTTCTGACCAATACTGGGCTAAAGAAGATAGTTTACTCCCCTTGTCCCTTCATTCCTTAACCACTCTACCTGCAAGAGTGCTTGTTATTGCCAATTGTGATGGTAACATGGAAAATTGTCTTTGGGGTTTTCATTGTTCTTGTATCTTCACACCTACAGGTAAATAAACATCAGGAATTTTACCAGCTGATGTGCAAGTTAATCAACAAAAACAGATAGGAATAGAGAAGGGAAAATTACTCCTGGTAGAGATTTCAGATGTGAAGTTATAAAGAGTTATTAGAAACAAGAACAAGAGTAAATATATAATCCAAATACCCTTCTGGTGATCCCATTAATACTTTGAGTATGTACTGTGAGCAGGAACTGATCCCCACATTATTATTAGTTGATTAGACAGCAGGTTTAATGCTGTATAGGACAAAGACACTAGCTCTCAAACAAAACAACATGCACCTATAGTGCTCCCAGAAAAAAGGAAAAAAAAAAAAAGATTCCACAGGACAGCATGGAATGTTTTAACAACACTTCTTAGCTGAGCAGATTAGGGGTTAATAGACCTCATGAATAGGGTGACCAGATCACCCAGGAAAAATAACGGGAGGGGGGGGGGGGGGGGAAAAAAAAAAAAAAAACAGCGGCAGAGCAAAAAAACACCCCCCCCCTTCCTCCTCCCTCCGCAAGCGCTGGGGGGAGGCCCCGGAGACGCAGGGGGAGCGCGGGGGCGCGGTGAGTGAGAGTCCGGCCTGGCCCCGAGCGCAGGCAGGACTCAGTCGGACGGTACCTGGAGGGAGAGTAGGGGGGCGGCCCGCGGGGCCAGGCAGCGGCTGTTCTCCCCACCTGGGCAGTGGGAGGCGGGAGCAGCCGCTGCTGCAGCTCCCACTGCTGTGGGGGGAGGAAGCGGCCGCTGGCCAAGCTCGGCGGCTGCGGCTCTGGCGCCCGCGAACCCCCCGAGCCTGGGCCTGTTGCAGGGACCCAGCAGCACGCCCGCTGTGCCCAGCCCCTGGCCAGTCGCGTCTGGGCTGGCTGCCCAGCTGGTGCAGTCCCGCAGGCGGCCCCGGAGTGGGGGCAGCAGGCCCCAGCCCCCCCCGTCCCGCTCGGGTCCCGCAGGGGAACGAACAGGGCTGGGCTGGGCTGCCGATGCCAGCGCTTGTGGAGGGAGGAGGAATGGCGTGCTCGGGGAAGAGGCGGGGATTTGGGGAGGGAGCCAATGTGGGGAGGAGGGGGCGGAGTTGGGGCGGGGGGGCGCGAGCCCTTCCAGGCTCCGGAGCCTTTGCTTGTTTGTCCAGTGTCCCGACCTAACATTGGTCGGGACGCGGGACAAACAAGCAAATATTGGGACAGTCCCGATAAAATCGGGACATCTGGTCACCCTACTCACGAAAAACTTATTTGTAGGGAAGCAAATGAAAAGTTTTCATGCTCTTTTCTAGATTGTGTTGAGTGCTAGTATTAGGTCAGACAATTCAGCCCTGGGGGTGTAGGGGTCTACTTCCAGCTCTACCAACTCATTTCCTGAGTGATTTTCTTTTAACCTCTCCATGCCTCCGAGACCCAGCTGTAAAATTGGAATGCTATCACTTACGTATCCCGCCCTGGATGTTACGAGCCTTTATATATACACACACATAAATCACTGTGAGATGCTTGGATGGAAGATATGAAGGTAATACTTGGTGCTCTGTATTAACGTATTTCAGCTCATATCGGATTCCAGAGTGTGCCTTGAAATACCATGCTTTCACTCCATGACAAATTTTTTGTTTTACCAGCAAACCAGAAAATTGCTGATGTTGAAATGGGGTAACAGCCTCAAGTCACATTTTTTAAGGCACCAAATCAACATGGATATATATTAAGTAATAAAAGGACTGGAAAGTGCAGGTAGCTCAATGTCCTGGGGGCATTTCTAGAGCTCCTCTGGGACCTTCTTCATGTAGCGTTCATAGGATTGATGGAAAATTGATGGCAGGTAGGCAATGTGCAAGTAATTCAAACAGTAACAAAATTAGAGCGTGTTTAATAAAACAAAACAAAAAAAACACTCCACACATATTGGGAAAAGTGCTTTGGTTTGAAATGGATAAAACCGGCCCCTGATGGTACCATACACTAAGGCCTGGAAACAGAAGATTTACACATTACACAAGGTCGGCCAGACCAACTCTACAACAACAAACTGCATAGCACAGTCCAGATTATCCTATTGCGTGGGGTGAATGTCTCCCCAAGATGAAGGGATTTGTGTTTCAGAGGTGACGAATAGGTTGGGGTAGAAAAAGTGGGGCAAGTCCAGTTCTCAGGGCCAAAATAATGAAGGGCAGAAAGTTGTGCACTCCTGTTTACCAGGTCTCACAATACAATCAATCAGGGGACAATCAATGAAACCGAAAAGCAGCAAGTTTAAAACTGATAAAGGGATCTTATTTTTAAACTCAGAATGAATAATTATGCTGCACAACTCACTGACACGACCTACTTGAGGCCAAGAACTTAGTGAGACTGTATGAAAAATTAATATAAACATCCATACTCATATCAGACAGGAAATTACAAAACAGAAGAGTGATAAACCTTCATACGTCCGTACAAGCTAGCCTGCGTGTGACTGGGGTTAGAGAAAAACTTCCCATATGGACTGCTTATTTCACACACTGTTCACTGTGAGGTTTCTTGCACATTCTGGTACCGGCCGGATAAAGGATGTTATGGTCCACTGGTCTGAACTGCTATGTTCTACTGAAAACTCAATGGGATTTGAGCTGCCCTTTCACCCCGCATTATAGAAAGAAAAATTGCTCCTGTCTTCAAGAATGGGGATACCCAACAACAGGAATGTAAAGGACCTCTCTCTAACTCCCTATTTATAGAACAGTAACATTTCACAGAAGACTGCAGTTTAGCTTTACCAAAAAAAAAAAAAACCTACCATACTAAACCATCTTCTTCCCAAATCCATGTATGAGGGAACCAGGATATTATACCAGAAGGGTAGGCTATCTTTATTTAGCATGTCCAAAATTCTGTACACCTTTATACTGAGTATATTTATCCTTATCTCTTCATTCCTTCTGAGCAAAGGAACCTCAGGTGACAGCTGTGGGCAACTGTTTTATGATTTTGTGTTACACTGCTAAACCTCTGTGTGAATAATTTGGACATGTGTTCATAAACAAACAGCTCAACTACAGTCACATTAACTTACCCAGTTATAAACCTCTACAGATAGGGGAGAAGATATTTAATTAGCACAAACATATGCAAATTTCACTGGCCTTCTCTATACCTCAAGAATTACCTCACTGATTAGAGGGAAAAAACAAACAGGTGTATCTGAACACTATTTAACTGCAAAGGTACAGAGGACAAACTGTTGACCAGAAACCATAGCTATACCTATAAGTCACATGCTTTCCCAGTTTTTTCACCCTCTATGTAGTCTGCATATATTTCTCTCTCTCTAAAGGTAAAGTGAGTGCTGCAAATTCCTCTGCTCTCCTTCCCACCCCCCCAACAATGTATCAAGCATTGCCCTTGGAGAGCCAAACATAAAGGAATGCCCTTCATTTGAACTACAAGTGGCAGGGATAAAGATACCTTTCCAACAACTGTACAAAATATTCAGCAGGTACTTTCTAGCCATCTTGATAAAATGTATTGCTCAGTGCTCCATTTTTCACTCTGGCATTCCTTCATTGTCCATTGTGAACAAAATACTAATCATAAACAGATATCAGCAATGATGTGACAAACATCTAAACAATATTAACATTTGAAATGAGTTACATAAGTGTTCCCTTTTTGATAAGACCGAAGACTAAATAAAATGTTTTTTTTAAATTCTCCACTTTACAGTGTCTGGACAGCGATGGCATCACCCACCACTGAAATACCTCAGCTATTCTGAAATGAGTAATCATCATCAGCTACCTACCCACCCTATTTCTCCAAATCAGCATTATCTCCCCCCCCCCCCCCCCACACACACAGGGGACCTAAGGGAGATTTCTATTCCCTTTGGGCTGCTGAATAACAAAAGGGAATACAGCAGGGTCGAAGAATCTGGCTCTGAACCTTCAGCAATAGAGTGCTCCTTAGCACTCTGCTTGGACATTGGTTCCAGGGTGGCTCAATACAAGAGAGTTCTGTCTGCTGGAACACTGGGAGAGATTCTGCCCCCTGCTTCAGCAACACATAGGAAATGTAAACAGCCCACAAGGAGAAGGGGGAGAATTTCTCCAATTTCAGTTTTTTCCTGGGAAGTTAAGCTATAGCCAAAACTCCCAAGTCTGTCTTCCATACTACAGTCCAGATATACACTTTTTAAAACCAAAAGAGGTGAAAGACTTAGACCCAGATCCTCAAAAGGCATTTAGGAACTTAACTCCTATTGAAATCAAATACCTTTGAGGAGCTGGGCATTGGCATTTGTACACATGATCAGTTGGTATATTACAATCATTCCTTAGCATACTGAACATGTTTAACATGGTGCATGTTCTTCTAGTAGTTCACTTTATCCAATAAATGAAAAATCAAATTATCCTTTTACTTATCCTATTTGTTCACATTTTGCAGAGGTGATTTCACAATCCTTTTTAAAAATTGTAGTCCCTCAAAAGGGGATGAAAGCGTCACAGGGCACAGATACACTGGAAGCACGCTTGGCTTGAGTTTCTAACTGAACTTTTTAATAAGGTAGAACACAGTTAACATTTTCCACTTAAATGCAGTTATCCCCCTGAATAAATTATTGTATACTCTATTGAGTTGAGAACAAAAATTCCACATACAGAGGATGTACGTGTTTTAACTTATATTTTTTTATCCATTACAACCACTATTCTGAATGATGTACAGATTCTGCTTTTCTTGAATTTTTCATTTGAAGGTAAATTACTACACGTATTAGGATCTGGCACACAAAAAGAAAAAAAATGTATTGTTTTGAGAGTTCTATTTCTTGAACTGCCTCCACTGCAGCACGTTTAAACAGTTATTTTAATGACTAATTAATTAGATGGCTTAGTCAAAGCCCACTATCAGCTGTGCAGTTCTTTGGTAAAGGCATGGCAACAGACTCCTTGCTTTCAGTCAGTGCCCTTGGCTGATGGATAAGCACGCTAAACTTAACCCCTTGGTTAGCTGCTGCCCTAACAAAACCACTGTTTGCGGTCATCGTGATGGCTTTTAAAGTGTCTCCTGTCCCAAAGATGGCTAGAGAGCGGCTATTAATTTTTGAACTAGCCACTAGTCTTAAGGCACGGTCAGAGGGCTGGTCTGGCACCACATTAATTCTCTTCATGAGAGAGATGGCTCGATCTTTCTCCCCAGGTCCTCCTAGAGTTTCTAAGATTGACTGAAAATCTTTGACTGCGGATTCACAAGCGAACAGCTCCTTGCCCTTCATGAAATCCTCCAACTGAGGCAGGACTCTCTCCTTCCTTTCCTGTGCTGCCTGCTCCGTTAACACTTTCTCCTTAAAAATGAAGTAGCAGCCACCACAGCTAAGGGAAGAGACATATGTAATTAAAGTAGTGATGTCCAAGTTAACCCTATTGCACACATCTACTTTGATCTCTGTAGGAAAAGCAATGCTGGCTACTAAATTCTCCCGGTCTACTCTGGTCACCTGCAGGACCTCAGGGCTTTCTTCCTCAGATTCACTGGCACTTAGGTGTCTCTCTTCAGTCAAGTGCTCTGCCAAAGAGTTAACAGCAACTACATCTCCCCGCACGGATATGCCCATCTCTTTCAGCCTCTCTGCCATAGGACTGGACACACTATTATAAAAAGCAAAGATAATATGGGGGTTGCTATATTGCACTGGTTGCTGACGGCTTGCTTGCAGAAAGTCCTCCGCCTGCTCAATGATGCTTTTGTCGCCATATTGGCCCCGGCCCAGCCAAATATTGTGAAGAGCTTCAGCCTTTCGACCAATTGCTTTCACCCAAGTGTGGCCACTATTTGCAACAACATCTACCACCAGCATTTGCTTTTCTCCACAGCAGTCTTCATAGGCAAAGACATGAAGGACACTGACGACCTCCTCCAGGTTCTCTGCTGACTCAATTATGGCTCGGAGATGTGTAAGATTGGTACTCTGCAGATGGGACTCCTTAATGGCCACCTTCCCCGCCTCCACCCTGTGCAAGAATTTCAACTCGGCCTTCAATTTGCTGCATAGCTTTGCTCCACCTTCTATACCTCCTTTCTGTGATCTGGAAAGGGCTTCTGCTCTCTTCATTAATTCCTTAGCAACGGCGATTCTCTCACAAAGCAATGACTGCACAGACATGTTGACAGCATTATTTCTATTAGATGAAAGCAAAAGAGATCATCATTACTACAAGTTCAGTGACAAAGACAATATAGAAAGAGGCTTTTCCAACACCATACATCAGAGCTTTGCACTGGATTTTGTGCAATAACTACCATAGTTATGTGGCGTGGGCATTAGAAACTGTAACACCTTGGCCAAGCTCTTCAAAAAAAGTGACTAATGATTTGATGGGGCCTGATTTTCTGCAGACGAGTACTCAGTGTTTTCAGAAAAATCCAGGCCTTCAAAAAGATGTCTTCCACGATTCTTCTATTTGAGTGTCCAACATCCCTAACCGCTTCTGAAAAAACTCAGCCCTCACTTCTAAGCTTATTCACACAATCAAATTTATACAAGCTTCATTGTGCTCTAAGGCTCCACCCTGTCCCTAAGTTTACACACTATTATTTTTAATTGCTTATACTGCACCCTGGGAGCTCATTGTGCTTTACCATTTTTAAAGACAGCCTCCTGTCTCTCCTTACATTGTAGAACTGCTGCTAATTAGGCGAGTAAACCTAGAAGACTGTTGCATGGCTGACCTTTAATTACAGAGAGAGTTTCAGATTACAAGGTGTGTAGTATAGTGGATTGACTATAGGCCTAGGATCCAGGAACTCCTGTATGGTAAACTGGCTCTGTGACAGATTAATTGTATGGCATTGGGCATGTCATTCCCCCTTCCCCCCCAATCAGTATAATGGGTATAATATTATTTACCTACTTCGTCACGGTGTGGAAAGGATCGGTTACTTAATATGGGAAGACTTCTGGGGGTGGGGGTGGGGGAACCACACAGAGCATCAAATATTATTGCAAGTAGTTTTTGTATTTACCACAGGGTAATACACATATACACCCCCCTATCATTTTCAGACAAGGTTAGATGCACACTAGTTGAAGAGAACCAGATGTTGATGACAGAGACAACTGGAACCAGACACAGGAACTAGGCACTCCCCCTGAATATGGATCTGCTAATGCAGGTTCTGAGCCCAGATTTGTGGAATCTTTGAGCCCATATGCAGTTGAAGCCACACTTACAACTATCTCTACCCAATATCACCAAAAATCTTCCAAGCACAAAAATCCTTATTCAATCCATCATCATCATCGTCACATGACCAACTCAATCTCTTCAGGCTCTTCGCCACAAAAAAATAAAGAAAATAGCAAAACAATCTACCTCTCCCACCACTAAGATGGCATTTAGAAACTCCTGAAGTACCTTCATTGGCTCCCTATTGCCTATCAAGTCAAATGTAATCTCCTCACATCACTCTTAATGTTCTCTTTTCATTTCTAAATGAGTCTTCTTTCCTGCTGCCCCTTTTGCCTGATGCTTCCTCCAGCCATATCTGAAAAACCAGTTCTTCAGTGCTGCTCATCACAAAACCCAGACACTTCACAACAGCACTCCAGAGTTTATGTTAAAATAATCCTACTTTCTTATTGATTCCCAGTCTCCCAAGCCATCATTTGCATCTGTACATAAAACCGACCAGTGAGTACACTCAGTTTTGCAATAAATGTGTTGGCTATATGTTTTGATATCACTACACAATTCATAACAGGAAAAATTAAATGCACGCAAATAATCACATTGTCATGATTGGTAAGGTCAGACCAACGTGCAACATGGCAGAAATGAAGAACAACCAGTTCTGTATACTCCTGGGGGAATTCTGCACCACTGCGCGTGTGCAGAATTCATGTCCCCCACAGATTTCTTTGCTTCCCCGCTGAAATGTGACTTTCTGACAGGGAAGCTGCAAAGGCAGTCACGCCACACTCCCTAGCTGCGCAGATACATTTTTTCAGACATCCGGAGCAGCCGGTGGAGAGGTAAATCACCACAGGGCTGGGGACACCCCAGCCAGTGGCTCCTACTCTGAGCTGGGATCAGCTGCTAGTTCCAGCTGGGCTGGAGGCAGAAGAGAGTGGGACTTCCTCTTCCCGTGCAAGGAGTTGCTGGGGCTGTGTCAGATTCACCCCCACAAATCTCCCCCAGCTGCAGAAAGCTCAGCATCCTGCCCTGCTTCCTGCCCCCAGTGCTCCTCAGCTATGGGGGGAGGGGTCACTGTGCAGGGAGCTGCTCCTCCATCTGCCTAACCCCCATGCCTCAGACCTCCCATACCTAGACACCCCCACCAAGCCTCACCCCAGACATTCAGAACCCCCCTACCCCTCCATACCCAAACCCCACCTCACTGAACCTCAATCCCTGCATCTAGTGCCCCTGGCCCTCAGCCCCCCTGCCTGCAGACCCCCACTGAGCTCCCTGTACTCAAACCCCCACCCCACCAAGCCCCATTCCCCCAGCACCCAGACCCCTCAGCTGAGCCCCAACACTTTCACTTGGAAGCCCCCGCAGAGTGCCATTGCTCCTCCCCCCAGCTACAGCCCTACAAGAGCAGAGGACGAGAGCACACAGCACAGGCTGGGGGAGGGAAACGCTCACCCCACCCCTACCTGGCCCTCCTGCGGTCTGGCCTCCGGCTCCTTGCAGCAGACACCGCCTGGAGAAATCACATGGGTGCAGACAGGGAGGAAGCGAAGCCACCATCTTAAGCCAGGGCAAAATGATTTAAATACCGGGCTGCTGCTCCCGTAGCAAGCAAGCAGCACCCTCCTCCCCCACCCCCCCCTTCCCAGGGCTCGCCCCCTGCTTATTGCTGAGCAGGTTCCCACCCACTTCCCCGGCAATCAAACCGCACCACGCCACTAACCCAGCAGCAGCTCGTTACTGCGTGTAACTAGCCCCAGGAATCTGCACTGAGCAGCGAGTCACCGGGCTTCCTTTGCATGCCTGAGTTCAGGTGATTCCTCTGTGTAGTTTTACCCAATGCACAAAACCTCCCCTAATGCAGGGGTCTCAGGCTGCAGGCTCGCGCTATAAAGGGGCATTTAAAAGTATGTAGCAGGTTAGACATCTCATTGAGAAAGGCCACACAGCCAAATCCATCCATCCGTCTAAACAGGCCCTTCCACCTGCCTTTCAAAAAAGAGACCCCCACCCACCCCACCCCGAGTGAGGTGCGTTTGGATCCCCAGGGGGGTTTGCCTGGGCTCCTGTCTCCTGAAATGGAGGGAGTGTCCCTAGCAAGGAAGTCTTGTTTACTGGTGTATCTCGACCCAACTGCTACCCCCAGTCTTTCTCTCGATGAAGGTAAATCCCTTCACCGGGACCGTGCGTTAGTCTCGGAGTCTTCCCCCTCCTGGAGTCCATCGCACTGTTCTATAGCTGTCCTTCCTCGGGGTCCCCGCCGCAGCCCGAGCGTGGGCAATACTTACACCTGAAAGGGGGGGGAATCAGCCCCGCGGCACGTGCCACGCTCCTTCCCCCGGTGCAACAGCAGCTGCTCCCGCTAAACCCATCCATAGAAAGCCAATGGCAAGGCCCACTCCGGCCCTTCCCCTTCTGCGAGCTAAGCGGAAACCCGGCCTGGCTGCCGCACGCTCTACCTGCTCAGCCGCCTGCAGCGCCACCTAGCGATCCAGGCCAGGGCTTTACTGTAGGGATAAGCTGAAACCCCTTCATTCTTACCTTGTGTTTTTTATTTACTTTAGGGGGGTATAAGGGTGAGGGCGCATTACAGAGAATTTATCCTGCTCCTACCATTCATACCCATATCTGTTCCATAGCTCTAAAAACTAACCTCCCAAGAAGGGAATGGATATATTTTTTCTCTTCCTCTGGATAGTAAGAGTTACTTTAGCATTTGCCAGATTAGGACATATTATGTACCTCAGGCTGCAACAGACAGATTCCCCCTCCCTCCCCTGCTTCCGGAAGAATGTCACAAATCGCTGCCCCCAGACATCCTGCCGACCTTTCATAGATTCATAGATTCTAGGACTGGAAAGGACCTCAAGAGGTCATCGAGTCCAGTCCCCTGCCCGCATGGCAGGACCAAATACTGTCTAGACCATCCCTGATAGACATTTATCTAACCTACTCTTAAATATCACCAGAGATGGAGATTCCACAACCTCCCTAGGCAATTTATTCCAGTGTTTAACCACCCTGACAGTTAGGAACTTTTTCCTAATGTCCAACCTAGACCTCCCTTGCTGCAGTTTAAGCCCATTGCTTCTTGTTCTATCCTTAGAGGCTAAGGTGAACAAGTTTTCTCCCTCCTCATGACACCCTTTTAGATACCTGAAAACTGCTATCATGTCCCCTCTCAGTCTTCTCTTTTCCAAACTAAACAAACCCAATTTCAAGTTAGTTCAGCTCATGCTCTCTCAGCCCGGCACTCTACCCCCTCTAAAAATAGCATTCAAAAAGTAAGTGGGGAAACAGATCAGAATAAAGGGATCAGTATTATCTTTGGTAAAAGTGACAGCACAGAAGTTACCCTTTATGACAAGAAACGATTTTACGATTTGTAAGGCCCAAAACAAGAATGCAGGGCCTCTACCTCCACTATGGGAGCTTCCTTATTTGAGATCCAATGGATCACAAGGACATCTCTGCTCCTTAGTGTTTGAAGGGGTGACATCTGGACCATCCTGGTATAACTAGTAGAAATATACAAGCAAACATGCACGAGATTCTCTGTGAAAATCTTTAGAAAGAGGGAGGGAGGCTGTCTACGCTGTGCTGATACTAAACATCAGCTGTGGTCCAGTCTCCAGGGAGTTCCTGCATCTTTCAGACTGGTTTTAAATCATTTTTTCCAACTCCAGACCACTCTTAATTGACTGATGCCACATGGCCTCCAGCCTCAGTTTAAATTTGCACCACATCCAGGGTTGCCAACTTTGTAATATTTAAATACCAGATACATCAGCAGGAGTGCTGGAACCTCTGCTGCCCTACCTATTCCCCCAAAGCCTCACTGCTTCCCCAAGGCTCCACCCCTCACCCTGAGGCTTCACCCCCATTCACTCCTCTTTCCCCTCCCCCCATCGCTCACTGCCCAGGTTTGGAGGGACTCGCCTGCAGAGCCGGGGCTGGGAGCTGTAGTCGCCCAACACAGGTAGGAGGTGGCCCTGGCTGAGTAGGGGCTGATGTTGGTGATGACTTGGTGCCTCCACGCCTGCATTTACTGGACTTTGGGTGCCAGTCAGTAGATCTCACTGGACACTGTCAGGTCCCCTGTTCGACTGGACTTTCTATTCGAAAACCAGACACCTGGCCACCCTAGCCACATCAAAATCCTTCAGTCACCATAAACAATATTGCGACACTGTCAGGCCAAATGCCAGCTCTTGCCCAGGCTGCACACATTAGCTAAGATCTGACCACCTGATGCCATCATGGCCTCCAGCCTCAGTTTAAATTTGCACTACAATTAACACCTATATGTTAGTTTTGCTCAAAATAGGTATTAGTCTTATAAGAATGCATAGGCGCCGACTTCCCCTCTACCGGGGGGGGGGGTGCTCGACTCCCCCCCCCGCCCCAGGTCCTGCCCCCACCTCCATCCCTTCCCCAAAGCCCCTGCCTCTTCCTGCCCCTGCTCTGCCCCCACCTCTACTCCCCTCCACCCCTTCCCCAAAGCCCCTGTTCATCCTGCCCCCACTCCATCCCTTCCCCAAAGCCACTGCCTCTTCCTGTCCCACCCCACCTCTTCCCACCCCTGCTCCACCCCCACCTTGCCTCTTCACCACCTCTTTCCACCCCCTCCCCTGAGTGCACCCTGTCCCCACTGCTCCCTCCCAGAGCCAACCTACACACCGCAAAACAGCTGTTTGCGACAGGCAGGAGGTTCTGGGAGGGAGCGGGAGGAGTGATCAGCGGGGCCACCAGCGGGGGAGAGGCACTGGGGGGTGGGTGGGGCAGGGGGGAAGCTCAGCTGCGGTGGGTGCTAAGCACCTGCTAATTATTTGCTCTGGAGCACCCACGGAGTTGGTGCCTATGTAAGAATGTATTTCGACTCTATGAAATGCTTGTAAGTTGTTGGATGCATTAATCTCACTTGTAATGTCTGTATTCCCTGCTATAAGAAAATACTTAAGCTTTGCTTTATAACGTTGAAAATGTTTACTCTGGACTTGTGAACTCAGGCATGGGTCCCCTTCCTCCCTTCCCCCACCCATCCAGAATGACTGTCAAAATAAAATGGGTTATCAAGGACCATTGCAATCCGAAGGATTGGTTAATGACCCAATTACACCTAGGAAATGCTATGTGCTAGGAAGCTTATTCTGTGGGCATGAAAGCTGAACGAAGGAAATAAAACAAAACCATAGGAAAATTTCCTGTCTTTCTGGCTGTTTGAACTCTAAAGGACCAGAGACTCTAAACTGAAGCCAGAGATCCCCAGGAGCTGCCTCCTGGATTGCCCTGAAAGACATTTTGAATGGACAGATCACTCCAAAAGTAACCTTAGTATGATGTGATTTTTGGTGTAAGTGACCATTGATCAGTAAGTCTAGTTTGTCTGGATGGCAAGCTAGACTGAAAGGTTTAAGGGGACTATCTGTGACTCCATGGCAGAATTGTTAGTGATCCAAACTGGCATGAGTGTCTGGAGGAGCAGAGCAGCTTCCAGGACTGGGGCCTTACTGAAGAAAGATCATGTAAGTCAACACATGGAACAGGGAGTCAGAACATCTGTTTAATGTTTCTTTTGCTTTTTTGTGGCATTCACATTACAGCACTGTACATCACAACTTTAGAAGTTTTGCAATACAATTCTAGGCTCTGGTACATCTGTTGATCCACACATGAAACCCTATTTGAAATCAAACTTGGAACAATTCTAACTTTGTCTTTCCCCTCCAATATTGTTTAGTCTCTCTGCTGCCAATATCCCACACATTAGCTACCATAAATTTATGCTAGCGGTTTAGAGGCTGCAATTTTAGAGAATGACATAGCAGCTGTTTCCAAGATTATTGTCTAGTGGATTATAGCCAAAGACTTTGATATTCATGAAGATGCAAGACAAACTGCACCAGCTGGAGACTAGCACCACTGTATACTTTGCCACAAAATGTACTTCACTCTTGAAGTGCTCTTTATTTTTGCATTTGATAACATGCTCCAAAACTAAATTACCATCACTTAAAAATAACCAATTTTAAAAAAAAATATATATATATATATATATATATACACATACACACACACACGTATATATATTTACACACACACACAAGTTACATGTATTTTTAACTTTCCATTAAAAATCATCTTTAAAAATTTCTAGGCCAAATGGTAAACACCTTTTAAAAAGACTCCATAAAGATTAGGCAATTATTTTAAATTGACTTATTTTCAGTTCAGCTGTCTTGGTACAGTGGCGTAATTTCCACAGTAGGAGTAAGCTACGGGTCATGATGGAAGAAAATGGGTGGTGGTTCTCGACCAAGCTCTGCCTGTGCGAATCATTAAAATGAAATACTCCTCACAGTAGGCTGTGCAAATGCTCAAAATATGATTGTGTGCACTCGTCGGAGCTTCACAGGGCTTTGAGCTTGGCCTCCCATTGATATACCCATGGGAATATGCCCATGCGTGCTGCTAGAATCCTTGGACATGCCTTTCTTGATTGGGGGTCCAGAGGAAAAAAAAAAAAAAAAAAATCACACCTCTCCCCTGAGACATCTCTCCATGTAAACTCTGCAGATTCATGATCTTCCCTCTCCTGCCTTAGCTGAGGAATGGAATAGTTACCCAGTGAGGATTTAAATATCAGTATGGTTATTTGAGTTCACATCCCTTAGAGCTATTGTTCCAGTCTCCTCTCTGCATCAATTACACACTGTTCAAAGACTGTCATAATACAGGGTTTCTAGCCTAGTAGATGGGGGAAGCTACAGATATATTTTGATTTTAGTAATTTTTTGAGTCCCATATTACATTTTCATAACCAAACTAAAGAAACGTGGTCTAGGTGGAATTACTACGAAGTGGGTAGACAACCAGTCGAAAAACCATACTCAAAGAGTAGTCATCAATGGTTTTCTATGAAACTCTGAGGACACATCTAGTGGAGTCCTACACAGGTCTGTGCTCAGTCCAGTACTAATCAATATATTCATTAACGACTTGGAGCATGGAGAATATGCTTATAAAAGTTGTAGATTACACCAAGATGGGAGGACAGAATTAGAATTCAAATCCTTTTGAATTCTAATTGGAAAATTTGTTTGAAATCAACAAGATGAAATTCAATATAGACAAGTGAAAAGTACTACACTTACAAAGGAAAAATAAATGCCCAAATACAAAATGGGAAATAACTGGCTCATCATGGCTCAGGGTCATAGTGCATCACACATTAAATATAAGACAATAAAATTCAATTGCAAAAAAGGCTAATATTCTAGGATATATTAACAGGAATGTTGTATGTAAGCCACAGGAAGTAATTGTTCCATTCTACTATGCACTGGTGAGACCTTAGGTGAAATACACTGAAGCCCAACACTGGATACACTTTAATAAAGATGTAGA